ATAAATGTACCACAGCTTTTTATTCACTCATTTACTGATGGGCACTTGAGCTGTTAGCAGATCTTGGCTATTTTAAATTGTGCTGCTATGAACATAGGTGTGCATACATTATTTCTGATTGGTGCTTTAGATTTCTTAGGATATATTCCTAGAAGTGGGATCACCAGATCAAATGGCAGATTCATATTTAATTTTTTTGAGGAAACTCCAAACTGTTTTCCATAATAGTTTCACCAGTCTGCATTCCCACCAGCAATGTACTAGGGTTCCCCTTTCTCTATATCTAGCACTTGTCATTTGGTGATTTATTGATGGTAGCCATTCTGACAGGTGTGAGATGGTACCTAATTATTTTGATTTGCATCTCTCAGATGATTAGTGACTTTGAACATTTTTTCATGTCTCTTGGCCATGTGTATGTCCTCTTTGGAGAAGTATCTAGGTTCTTTGCCCATTTTTTAATTGGATTGTTTGTCTTCCTTTTGTTAAGTTGTATGACTTCCTTATGTATTTTGGATATTAACCCTTTATCAGATGTATCATTGCCAAATATGTTCTCCCATACAGTGGGCTTTCTTTTTGTTTTGTTGACGGTTTCTTTTGCTGTGCAGAAACGTCTTATTTTGATGTAGTCCCATTTGTTTATTTTCTCCCTAGTTTCCTTTGCCTTAGGAGATGTATCTGTAAACATTGCTATAAGAGATGTCTTAGATTTTGCTGCCTTTGTTTCTTCTAGGTTTTTTATGAGTTCATGACTTACATTTAAGTCTTTTATCCATTTTGAGTTTATTCTTGTGTATGGTGTAAGTTGGTGGTCTAGTTTCATTTTTTTGTAAGTATCTGTCCAATTTTTTCACCACCATTTATTGAAGAGACTCTCTTGACTCCACTGTATGCTCTTGCCTCTTTTGTTAAATATTAATTGAGCATAATGGCTTGGGCAAATTTCTGGGTTCTCTGTTCTATTCCATTTATCTATATGCCTGTTTGTGTGCCAGTACCAGGCTGTTTTGATTACCATGGCTTTGTAGTATAACTTGAAATCTGGTATTGTGATTCCTCCAACTTCTCAAAATTGCTGCAGCTATTTGGGGTCTTTGTTGATTACATATAAATTTTTGAAGTATTCTAGCTCTGTGAAATATGCCATTGGTATTTTAATAGGGATTGCATTGAATCTGTAGATTGCCTTGGGTAGTATGGACATTTTAATGATTTGATTCTACCAAGCTATGAACACAGTATATTCTTCCACTTGTTTATATCTTCTTCTATCACTTTTTTCAATGTCCTGTAGTTTACTGAGTACAGGTCTTTTGCTTCCTTGGTTAAGTTTATTCCTAAGTATCTTATTTTTTGTTGTTGTTGTTGCAATGGTAAATGGGATTGTTTAGTTTCCCTTTCTGAGAATTCATTATTGTTGTATAATAAAGCCATCGATTTTTGAGGGTTGATTTTGTATCCTGCTACATTGCCAAATTCATTTATTAAATCTAGTAGTTTTTTGGTGGAGTCTTTAGTGTTTTCTATGTACAATATTATGTTATCTGCGAATAATGAGAGTTTTACTTCCTCCTTCCCAATTTGGATGCCTTTTATTTCTCCTTGTCTGATCACTGTGGCTAGGACTTCCAGTACTATGTTGAATAAGAGTGGTGAAAGTGGACATCCATGTCTTGTTCCTGTTCTTAGGGGAAATGCTTTTAGTTTTTGCCCATTGAGTATAATGGTGGCTGTAGGTTTGTCATATATCATGTTGAGATATGCTCCCCCTATTCCCACTTTGCTGAGAGTTTTTATCAAAAATGGGCATTGGATTTTGTCAAATGCTTTTTCTGTATCTATCGATATGATCATGTGATTTTGGTCTTTTAATTTGTTTTTGAGATGTATCATGTTTATTGATTTGTGAATATTGTACCAGCCTTGCATCCTTGGAATAAATCCCACTTGGTCATGTGTATGATCTTTTTAACATATTTCTGGATGTGATTTGCTAACATTTTGTTGAGGATTGTAGCATCTATGTTCATCAGGTATATTGGCTTGTAATTCTTTCTTTGTAGTGTCTTTATCTGATTTTGGAATTAGGATAATGCTGGCCTCATAAAAAGAGTTTGGAAGTGTTCCTTTCTCTTGGATTTTCTGAAATAGTTTGAGGAGTATAGGTGTTAGTTCTTTTTTGAATGTTTGGTAAAACTCCCCTGTCAAGCCATCTGGACCTGGGCTTTTGTTTGCTGGGAGTTTGATTACTGCTTCTATTTCATCAGTTGTTTTTGGCCTATTTAGGTTTTCTGATTTCTCCTGATTAAGTTTTGGGAGATTATATTTCTCTAGGAATTTGTCCATTTCATCCACATTGTCCAGCTTCTTGGCATATAGTTGTTCATAGTATTTTCTTAATATCCTTTGTATTTCTGTGGTGTTGGTGGTTACTTCTCCACTTTTGTTTCTGATTTATTTGGGTCCTCTTTCTTTGTTTCTTGGTGAGTCTGGCTAATGGTTTATCAATTTTGTTTATCCTTTCAAAGAACCAGCTCTTGGGTTCATTGATTTTTTTGTGTGTGTGTTATTTCTTTAGTCTCTATTTTCTTATCTCTGCTCTAATTTTTATTTCCTTCCTTCTACTTTGGGCTTTTCTTGTTCTCTTTCTAGTTCTTTAAGTTGTAGGGTTAAATAGTTCATTGCTGATTTTTCTTGTTTTTTTGTTGTTTTTTTTTTGAGATATACCTGTAGTGCTATGATCTTCCCTCTTGAGACTGCTTTTGCTGTGTCCCAGAGATTTGGGGTTATTGTGCAGGCATTTTCATTCATTTCCAGAAAGTTTTTTATTTCTTTCTTGATCTTGTTGGTAACCCATTTATTGTTTAATAACATGCTATTTAGGCTCCATATGTTTGAATGTTTTGGGGTGGTTTTACTGTAGTTGATTTCTGTGATCTGAAAAGATGCTTGATATGATTTTAGCCTTCTTGAACTTGTAGAGATTTGTTTGGTGTCCTAACATATGGGCTATCTTTGTGAATGATCCATGTGCACTTAAGAAGAATGTATATTCTGCTACTTCGGGGTGAAATATTCTATAAATATCAATTAAATTTATCTGATCCAGTGTGTCCTTTAAGAGTCTCTGTTTCCTTGTTATTTTTTTGTTTGAAAGATCTATCCAGTGAGGTCAGAGAGGTGTTAAAATCCCCTACTATGACTGTATTGTTGTCGATTTCTCCGTTAAAGTCCTCTAGAAGTTTTTTGTATATATTTAGGTGTTCCTATATTAGGTGCGTATATGTTTACCAGAGTTATATCCTCTTGTTGGATCGATCCCTTTAGTATTATGTAGTGACCTCTGTTGTCTATTGTGATGGACTTCATTTTAAAGTCTATTTTGTCAGATATGAGTATCGTTACTCCAGCTTTTTTTTTCTTTTCCATTTGCATGGAAAATTCTTTTCCATCCCTTCACTCTCATCCTGTGTGTATATTTTGTTCTGAGGTGGGTCTCTTGTAAATAGCATTTACTTGGGTCATGTTTTTATATTCATTCAGCTCATGAGACTCCTTGTACAGTGGGCTGAGGGGAAAACTCGGAGGAGGGCAGCTTCAGGGTTTTGGTTTGAGGAGCTGAGTCAGTCCAAAGAAGAGAGTATGGTAGAGAGGGATCAAGGTTTCTTCTTTTGACACAATTCATTGGAGAAAAGTATTAGCTATTTAAGTAGATCAATAGAGTGGCCAGTTGTTTGAAGTCATTGATGAAACATTGAGGTACTGGGCAGGGGGTCACTTACATGATGGTGATGCTTGACAATGTCCTGGTCAACAGTGTGACTCAACTATGCTGTCTTTATGTCACAAACGTACTCAAAATGATGCCATTCCACTCTTTAGAATGTGATAGGGAGTGAAATTATAAATATTTATGTTGCACATATTTTACATCATTAACATGAAATATGGGCATTATAATGTAATATACTTATTGTTGCAGTCCTTTGAAATTTTAATGGAGAATGATTGGTCATGAGATGTTATTTTTGTAAAAACATTACATTATAATTGGTTAGTGCAAATATTATGCATGTTAAAATTTATGTGAGCAACATGAATTCATTTATTTAGTGCACGAAAGTGAACAGTATCAATGACCACAGTGGTCACAATATCAGGGCCCCATTGTTGTTAAATTTTGGCAGCTTGGCAAGTTATAACATTGTCATATTGTTAATTTAAAGAAGTACCACAATGTAGTATTGGTATTCCTATAAATATTGGAATCATTTTAGTATAAAGTAGTATGATCACATCAATTTTTCTAAAATATCAAAGGCATAATGTGTTTTTTAAAAGGGATTTAAGGGGTGTTTCCCACATGGCTTTTAGATGTCTGTCCTACAAAGCAAGGCATCTCGATCCTACCTAGGCACGGAAATTATTTCACTTTATTTGGTAACCGTGATACAATGGAATCTGTTTTCTTTGGTCCAGGATGCAGGGTTTTAGGAATGCTTACAGGTCTGGGTAGTTTCACATCTTGTAATATTTGAGATCTAATTTCATCTCTTGTTTATGGGAAAAGCCAGAAGCCAAATGCTCAAGCAATAAGCTTGGGAGTCATTTGTAGTCATTGTTCCTTTCCTTCTTCAAGCCTTCTCACAATGAATTCCTAGGATTTATGACTTCTTTATTCCCAATGCCAAATAGTTCAAAACTTGCATATTATGGGAGCATGTGTTCTCATCCATATTATGATTTCTATTGAAGTTCAGTTCAATAAAATTCAGGATTCTATGTCATAAATTTTCCCATGTAGATGATATTTTTATTTCCTTCTGTAAATATTTTTATAACCGAGATTGGAGCATCAAAACAATTGTTAAATATTTGCCTAGAATCTGCTTTAGAGCAAAGTCTCTGCCAACAACCACCCCTTTTTTTGGTGTCTGGAATGGGTAACTTTTTCATGCACGCGGCAATAGAGTGCTGATAAAACCCAAGCAAGGAGGTTATGATTTTAATATACTTTATTTAAAAAGTACACAGTTTTAAATTGGTTTCAGTGGGTTTCAAGCAGAAGGGACACTGCCCACTGGCAGCCCCGTTTCTGATGAAGGGTGGTTATCATGTAGCAAACTCACATTTACATGACTGGCAAAGTAAAAAGATAACATTTTTGTCAACATGTCTTTAAGAGTTTATATCACGCACAGTTTAAAATCATGAGATGCTGATGGTTGGACTATATTTCATGTCTCCTATGTCGCACCATATTTTGGTTCACAGTTTATCCATTATTTAGCATGCCGGGAGAACATCTCGGTCAGTGTCACCTTAAGAAGAGCAGCAGAAGCAGAGGGGACAGGATAAGGACCATCTTGGCCTGGAGGCTGGGTGCACCCCCACATTCCCTCGCATTTTCCTGCAGAGAAAGGCAGAGGGGGTCAGAGCAGAGACAGAGTCCAAGATGCCTTCTCCCCACTCTTCCATTGTTTGAACAAAGTCTCTTGGGACCTAGATAATTCAGGGAAATTCACTCGTCTAAATTTCATCAAGTTAGCGATGTGAATCTCTGATTACAGTTGTAAATGTGTAACATATTTAAAATTACTCTTTGCATACATGCTATGATGTAGACTATTTGAGGGGTAGACTATCTGTTGGGATCATATTATAAAGGCAAAATATTGGCTTTCTAATTTTTCCCCCATCAGAAGTTAAAAAAAAATCGCATCTAAGGGAGCTGATCATTTTTGGCTATGAAAGGTTTTGTTTCTTCTTTTCATTTGGGGGGAAGGAGGACTCTGTTTTACAAAAATGAAATATTATTACTTTCTGCAGCGTGCTTTTTATCCAGTGACTGATGCAAGTTTCTCCAACTCCATTATTCTAACTCTATTTTTAAGCTATTTTCCTATTGATGGGCACTCATTTTCTCATCTGTTCTACTGCTACAAAGAATGCTGAATGTAGGTCCTCAACAGACAGTGATATTTGCCCCTGCCTGTGGTAGAGATGACCAGTCTTGGAACTGCAGGCCTAACAGGTATGTTTGCCTTTCATGGCTATAGCTAGATATTTCATTGTTACCTGTATATTCAGATCACCCAGTGACTTATTTTTATATGTGATTGTTTGACTTATTAATTTAAAAGTGCTCTTTATAATTTGATTTCTAAGTACATTTTTCAAGTTCTATAAATTGGCTACTGACTTTAAATAATCTTTTTCCATAGAAAAGTTATCATTTTTACATAGTTAAATAAATCTGGTTTTCTTCCATAGCTTTGTCTCAGATAGGAAGTTCTCTACAATCCCTAGGATTTCTTGTGAGACTATGTCACTACTTAAGTCTAATTTATATTCTTCCTTTTGAATTGAACCTTTGTCATACATAAGAGTTTCTATTCTGTACCATTGACCTCATCTTACTACATCTAGAAACTTACAGAAAAAAAAATACAGATTTTGTATCAAGTAACCAAAGCAAATTATCTTATTAACTCTAGAAGATTTTACTCTGACTCTAGTTGTCTAAGTATAACGTTCTGAAGTGATTTTAGTGTTTTGGGAACTATTGTTTGTGTTTGCATTTTACATATTACATAGAGCTTTTATCATGGGTGATCATTGAATTTTATCAAAGGCTTTTCAGCATATATATGTATATAATATGTTGCTATTGAACTTGAACTTCCATTTAAATATAGAAGCAAACATTCTCAATAAATCTCAAGTTCTTATTGGTGCTATACTTTAAAATCTTTTCTAGGATTTAGATAGTTTAATAACATTAAAATCACTTGCTATTTAAAGTTGAGATTAACACTCAGCTGGCTCTGGTGGCATTTAAAAAACTAGTTTCCATATACTAATTTGTCTAGGCCCATGGTCGGCAAACTGCGGCTCGCGAGCCACATGCGGCTCTTTGGCCCCTTGAGTGTGGCTCTTCCTAAGCCTTAGGAGTACCCTAATTAAGTTAATAACAATGTACCTACCAATATAGTTTAAAAAATTTGGCTCTCTTGACTAATGAGTTTGCCGACCACTGGTCTAGGCACACTTTTCATTTTTTCAGGAGGTGTGTGAACTTAATTTTAAAAAAAAAATTTTGTTAAAGTTTTTGCTCACAGTATTGCAGGAGGTATTCTCTTACAATTTGCCTAAATCAATTGGAAGCCCACCTTTCTCAGCACTAAGCTTAGTTTTGCTCTGATCATGGCTTTCAGTGTAAAAGGAGTACCTTTATAGTCATGCTCCATATGGGTAGGGGTTTAGAGGCTTGTCAACCCCCTCCATACACTGGGACCCTCTGTCTGGTATAAACATTGCTACTTTTGCTTCACGTAAAGTTCTTGTAAATAAAAGGCTTTCCAAACGTAAGCAGGGGGAATAATTCTCACCACAATTTGAAATAAGTGAACTAAGATGATCAGAGCCACTTCGTGTGTAAGAGCAGAAGGTGATAAAATGACAGCCCTTTCAGGGCAGAAAAGATAGGAAGGAGGCTTGTGAAGTATATCGTGGGCATGAGAACAGGCTATTGGCCCAGACTGCGAAGGCACCGAGGCTGAGAGCAGGGAGCCAGCAGCCTTCCTGTAGATGCTTCTTCGATTCGCCTGAAAGGGATGGTTTTCTCACGAGTAAACTTTTTAGCTATAATGAAATTGCCGTGGCAAGTCTGCGGGGGAAAGAGAACAGGATGGGTTATCAGACTGACCTCAGGATGGAAGCCATGGCAAGATTCCGGACGCCTTCTGATCTTCTGGGCCTTTAAACGCTCACACTTAAGAGATTCGTTATGTTGACTGTAGTTAAGGCAAATTTCCAAAATGGTACTTCGCCCTAATCTGCATTGGCACTGCATGTTGGCACTAAAATCCCTTGACAATTTCTTTCTCTCCAACAGTGGGAAGATATCATTTACTCCTCCCCCAGCTTTCCTGGCAGTTGATCCCCTTACCCCATCAGCAGCAGCAGCTGGGCCTAACACGGAAGGATATACCTGATTTCGATGGGCGCCATGGTGATGGGGGCCACGGACTCGCAGAGGCAGCTGCTGTCCACCACCACCATGAACAGGTTGCTGCTTGGGATTTGCTGGATGACAAAGGACCTGGGGGAACAAGAGGCACAGACATGGTGGGGTCACTTACCATTCCTCCTGTAAAGAGCCACGAGGAGAACTTTTCCCTGAGGTAAGTACCATATTTTAGAAAACAAGTTTCCTCAAGTTGCCTTTTCCATCGGCTCTTTACTTTCAAACACCAAGTTTCACTAAGAAGACTCACCTTGGGAAGACTGAATTTTATGTGTACAAATCATCAGGGTCAGATTTGGCTAATTCACCTCAATTTCCAAGGTCTAAGAGGTTAGGCTTTTCCAAGCCTGCTTTCCTTCCTAAACATTATCAAAAGTTGCATTTAATGTTCTTCTATGTCAGTGGTTCTCAACCTTCTGGCCCTTTAAATACAGTTCCTCATGTTGTGACCCAACCATAAAATTATTTTCATTGCTACTTCATAACTGTAATGTTGCTACTGTTATGAGTTGTAATGTAAATATCTGATATGCAGGATGGTCTTAGGTGACCCCTGTAAAAGGGTCATTCGACCGCCAAAGGGGTCGTGACCCACAGGTTGAGAACCACTGTTCTAAGTTGTTTTTCTCTCCTTTCCTCAGAGACAGACTGAAGCTGTGTCACATGGATGACAAAAGATGAAGTGAACTTCCTAAACCCTTCGAGATACCGCTCTGCACGGTGTTTGGAGGAAATGAATGCTGGCCCTTTAACAAGTCCCACCCTTCTCAAGTCCACACTGTGCTGGGGCCTAACAGCTTAAGGACACCTGCTTCTTCATTGCCCAACACAGCGGAATGACAAAGCAACACCACTGTAAAAACCCTTCCTTCACAAGAAATACTGATTCTTTGGAGGAACAAATTAGAGACCCAAGTCCCATATTCTTTCAGAGCTGACAGAGTAGGTAAGTATTTAACCCCAGGCCTAGAATCCCGCTCACTTACCTTTTCATGATATTTCATCCAATTCCATTTAGCAGGATGAAAGAGACTATAACCTAATAAAATGTTCAATTCCTCCATAAATTTTACTTTCATTCATCTTTCAGAAAATTGGTTCTGTTTTCTAGAGCAGCAGTCGCCAACCGGTGGTCCACTGGTGATCTGGGAGGTCTGAAAGGTTGGCGACCGCTGCTCTAGAGTGTATCACCATGCTTTACAAAAGTCATCCCAGGAAGAAGCATCTGCTGTTTTGTGGGAAATTAGAAGGAGATGGACCCCTGTTAACATCTCATATGTTATAATATCCAAGAATGCCTCCAAGATTACAACACAACCAGCTTCCTTTCTACAAATGCCCCGTGCCTGTTCACTGAACATGACACAATTGTTTATTTTTTCCCACCCATAGCAGGGAACAAGGCATGCCACTGTTCAGTAATGTTCCCCCAATGCCTAAATCACCATCCACTCTCTGTCCTTCCTGCCCTTCTCCACAACTACACCTGGCTTGAGAAAAAAATTAAACCTTGCTAACTATCTCAATAAAACTTTAAAAATATCTGCTTTTCATCCCCCTTTTAGCACTAGGTGTCTTCTCACCTATGCAAAGATATCGCTTTAGCAGCTGGCCTCTGTAATGGATTGTGCCTACCTGAATTAAAACAGCCTACCTGAGATGGCTCTCATCAGAGGACCATTGATTTCCATGTTGGAGGAAAGTTAACAGAGTCTCAGAATAATGCAAAACCAACATCACACAATTCTTTAAAGGACAAATGGTTGACTTAAAAAGTAAGCCAAATGAATCGACCAGATGTGCAATAAAGGAGAAAGAGATATAAAAAGGTTCCAAAGGGAGAGAATGTTTTCCAATTGATGAAATTTTTTTTTTCATAGAAAGGGCCCATTCTAGCATGAATGAAATTTCAAATCATTAAAGATATAGACCAATCCTAATATCTTCTCTAGAAACAAATTACTTAAAGAGGGATGAGGATGACAGCAACTTCTCCATGGGAATACATAAAATGAAGAAAACAGAGTAACATGAAGTAAAATGTATGTCAGGTTCAGGGGAAAATTGATTCTAGGTAACTGTAGATAATGATAGAAAATTATTTTTTAGAATTTAGGGATAATAGCTAAAAATAGCATGTTAAGTAATATACACATATACAGAAAAATTTGACAATATTAGTCTAAAATTATTACCAATGACAGCAAATGTGAGATGATTAGATTCACAAAGTAAAAGGCAGAAACTCTTAAATTGCATTGACAAAATACCGGCATTATGCTGTTTGCAACAGACACTCCTAAAACAGAATGACGTGGAAAACATGTCAGATGAGAGGTGTCAAATGACAGGAAAAGTTTTACCAGAAAGATGCCAACAACACAAGAGAGGAACAGGTTAATATTATTATGCAAATATTCAAAGACATCATTAAAATGCAATAAATAGTTTATACACTATGAATAATTTTTCATATTAAAATAGTGAAATAGGCCGAAACCGGTTTGGCTCAGTGGATAGAGCGTCGGCCTGCGAACTGAAGGGTCCCGGGTTCGATTCCGGTCAAGGGCATGTACCTGGGTTGCGGGCACATCCCCAGTGGGGAGTGTGCAGGAGGCAGCTGATCGATGTTTCTCTCCCATCGATGTTTCTAACTATCTCTCTCCCTTCCTCTCTGTAAAATATCAATAAAATATATTAAAATAAATAAATAAATAAAATAAAATAGTGAAATAGTATAGCAAGGAATGACATGAACTTTTATGATCATAGTGTTCAAACTGATAGAAATACCAAAGGGATCAATGAGTACATGATCTATTAAAATATGGAACAAAACCTCTTGAGATCTAAATGTAGAATATAAGTTCTTTTTATTTATTGGGGTGACATTGGTTAAGATTATTTGGGTTTCAAGTGTACGTTTCTATGATGCATGATCTGTATATTGCATTGTGTGCCCACCACCTAAAGTCAAATCATCTTCCATCACCCTATATTTGCCCCGTAAGTTATTTTCAAACAGTGGCAACCTCGGCACATTCCAAAGCGCAGAAAGCATCACTTGCATATTCTTTATGGTATGGTAAAATTAGAAATAAAAATATATAAGCAGTGGAAATTAAAGGTTAAAAAAACACATTCAATTAATCCTTGCGAATTTGAGAATAAACCAGACTCAGATCTGTACAGTATGATCTTAAGTACTTCTATGGGAAAAAGAAATTTGCAAATAAATGAACTACATTTTTAAATTGAGAAGCTGGCACAATAAAAACATATGCTGCACCTGTGCCCCTCCACCTGGTCTAACCTCTACCCTGGGCTAAGTACTGATGCCCTTCTCTAAGGCTGGTCCCAGGATACCGCAAGGATGGGACCGATAGAAGAGAGGTGATCATTGCACAAATAGTCCCCTTTGTCTACTAGCCATGCCGTCAGGTTACAAACATGCCGTCAGTATCTCCCATCTCGGGAAAAACAAAACCTTCTCTTAACCTTACCTCTAGCTACTGCCCTGTTTCTCTGTCCTCCTTTATAGTAAAACTCCTAAAAAGAATAATCCACCATCTCCCTCTCTCTACTCTCATTTCTAATACAGCAGTTCTCAACCTGTGGGTCGCGACCCCTTTGGCGGTCGAACGACCCTTTCACAGGGGTCGCCTAAGACCATCCTGCATATCAGATATTTACATTACAATTCATAACAGTAACAACATTACAGTTATGAAGTAGCAACGAAAATAATTTTATGGTTGGGTCACAACATGAGAAACTGTATTTAAAGGGCCAGAAGGTTGAGAACCACTGCTCTAATAAGACTGGAGCCCTTCCCGCACCACTGAGTCAGTTCTCAACCTCCTTTCCCTCTGCCTGCTCCTTCCTTGCTGACGGCCCCTCACAACAGGCTGGTTTCCGGAGGTGGAAGGCTGCAGCTGTCTGCCCGTGGTTACCCATTATCCCTAGCACCTACAGTTGTGCCTGGGACATGGAGACTCTCAGTAAATACTTCCGGAATTAAAGACAGAATAAATTTATAAAGATAAAAGCAGGAGAATAGAATGCACATTAAAATGTGAAAATAACGAAGAACTAGACTCTGGTTTAAAAGAACATCAACATAAACCAACTTTCAGTGTTCCTGATCAAGAAGTCACAACATCATATTAAAACTCGGAAGACAGACATTTAAAACAAGTGACTATTCTGTATATTATTGCAAACAACTTGAAAACTAGAGCAAACACACCTTTGGGGGTAAAATATAAACTGTCAACATTTGGCCAAGCTATAAAAAACACAAGCAGACCCATAGCCCTAAAGAAACTGAAATGGTCATTGAAAATCTGCCCACAAGTGAATCCTACCAAATCAACCAAAGAACAGATATTACCATGTTCACAGAAAACCCCTGTGAACTCACTGACCAACGGTTAGAACTAATAAGAGAACTCGGCAAGCTGACCAGTTACATAATCAGAGTATAAACCACAGCCTTTCCCTGACACTGGCAATGCCCAATGAAAAAAATATTTGAGATAAAGAACCAATGGCAATGTCATTAATCACTAGGAAATGCCCACAATTAAATCTAGTAAAAGACATCTCTTTTTGAAGAAAATGACCAAACTTTACTGCCTTACTGAACATATAAAAAACGAACTAATAATTGGAGGGAAGTACAATGGTTGTGAAAATACACACACACACACACACACACACAATCACTAAAAATTAGAGAATTATAGAATAAAATGCATTTTTCATAAGCAGATTGACTAAATTTTAAGTCTGGCCTACTATCACATGGAAGAGAGTCTGCAGAAGTGATTATTTGACACTACTGGTGGAAATGTGACTTTGTACAGTCATTTGTATTATTATAATGGAAATCATTTAGATCCTATTTTTTCTGTAGTTTCATTTCTCAGTAAGAGAAACTCTTCTTGTGACCTAAAAAGCCATGTGGAAAGATGGTCTTGATAGCATTGTTCCCTGAGAGGAGGAAAAATACGAAACCTAACTGCGAGTCCGTCAACAGGGGGATGATTGCATAGCAACAGTATGTGGTTCTA